CTAATTAGAGAGGATTTTACCATGAAATTTTACATACAAAACTACTCGAGATGTGAGATACTGCAGACCAGTTCATGGTGGAATCATGGAATTTAGTAGAGTTTATTATAACACTTTTTTATTTATACTTTTAACCATAAAAAAAATAAATCATCTTACAATCCACTGCGTATAAGTAATAATTAATTTTTCATTGAATTTAATAACACTCATACGCTTAAGTTGTTTTAACTTTTAATACATTTTTGCATTAGTGAATACTATTTAATTTATTTCTTTCGTTACACAACTCATTTTTAAAAGATTTATTTTATTTAAACTCATGAGAATTATTTTTGTTTCAAAACTGAAGAGTTTTTATGTTCACTTCATGAGAGATATAAATGAATTTTGTTTTTTAATTACTCTCACAAGAGATATCAAAATGGATTGAATATGAATAAAACTAACATAAAATAATTTAATAAATTTATTTTCTGGTCTTTAAGTTTAAATTTCACTCGTGAAATTTATTATTTAATCTCAGAAGAAAAAAATATTCAAAATAAAGTAACAATTTATATCGCTTGATGTAATATCTCTCTCGAGAGAAATCTATTTGAACGCTCTTTTTTCACTATGCTTGGAAAACATAAATTTAAATATTAACATTTTATTTACTTAAAAATATAACAACACTAAAAAATATTTATTTATGTAATTTGTGTAGTAACCCTCTACTCATTTTTTGGGGATTTATTGTAATTTGAGAAATTGAAATATGTAAATGATGAAAAAATTAAAATATGCTGACAAGAAATAAATGACATACTTATATTGCCAATGGCAAAAAATTTTAATTTTTACAGCTAAAAAACTGCTGAATACAAAAATAATTAAATGAAATGAAAATGGAATAAAACGATTCAAAGGCAATTTGAAATTGTACCCTAAAAGTTGAAAAATATCATTATATTAAAAGCAACATTATTTTAGAAGTCATTAAAAAATATATTGAAGACTATATATAGCCTCGTATTTCCATACCGCTGGGACAATAAGTCGGGTATGAACGATCATTAACCCCATCGATTATACAAATATAATATCGAGATTTGAGTTTCAGATCACAGACTAGACTAGTCCATAGACTTGCAAATTGTCTAATCTTTAGACCAGACACTGGACAATACACTAGGCAATAGATTAGTCCATAGACTAGGTAATAAACTAGTCCATAAACTAAGCAATAGACTAGATATTAGACTCTTCTAAAACCTAGGCATTAGTCTAGTCAATAGAATAGGCAATGGACAGTCCACAGACTTGGCAATAGTCTAGTCCAGATATTATGCATAGACTGGGCAATAGAGTTTGCAATAGACTAGTCCGTAGACTATGCAATAGACTAGTCAGTAGACTATGCAATAGACTAGTTCATAGACTGGGCAATAGATTAGTCTATAGCCCAGTCCACAGACAAGGCAATAGACTAGTAAATGGACAAGATAATAGACTAGTAAATATATCTGTATATATTTGTTAAAAACTATAATATATTTTCTTACTCCCACTCCTAATAACAGGCGTCATAAAGCAAACTACTCCCACAATCTAACTAGTTAACACTCCCTCTCTTTCTCTCAGTTTTCCTCTCCCTCTCATCTAAAGTACTTATTTTCAGCCATAAACAAATTTAAATTGCTTTTCATTTGATCGAATTATCTATCCATCATCTCAATACAAATTACCTCTTTTATAGGACTACAACTAACGTTGCAACTTTAAGTAATGTATTTAGTTTGTTTTATTGTTTTTCCATTATTTTTATATTCTTTTTTATTGTTTTAAGTAGTTTAATAAATCATTAAATCGAAAAATCTCTCTACACAAAAGTATTAGTAAATAGTTCAGTTCACAATATGTTTGTGTATGTGTGTTTGCCTGCATACATATGTAGTTTTTATGATACACAAGTGACACAAAAGCATGACAAACATCTAAGTGTAAAACTTTGGAATAATTTTCAAAGAATATTGTGACCAAACTGAGAAAAAAAGTAATATTCATTATAAAGATAAAGTTTTTGTTGTTTCTTTGTCATCAAAAAAAAAAAAAAAATAATAAAATAAAAACAAATTATTTATAATATTTATGGCAAACTTTGAGAAAAAATCAAACAAAATTGGTCTTAACAAAATTAAAAAAAAAAACTTTAAGGTCAACCAATTTGAAAACCCACTCATAAAAGCCGCAAATGTTTTTATTTTCAGCTTATAAATATATGTATACTATACTAGCTTTACCCAGTGCGCTTCGCTACTCTTAAAACAATATAAATTAAAAACTCTTTACGGGTACAACAATATAGTTTTTCCTATAAATATGAAAAAATCACTTTTTAATAAATTACCAGCTTTAACTGATATCTTAGAAATTCAAATATAAAATTATTTATATGTATGTATGTACGATAATAGAATCTCTGTTAGGAATCAGACACATGCCCCCAAACGTTGAAGCACTCTACCAACTTGTGTCTTAAATACAAAAAATTAATCAAAATTTATGCATTTTTAGTAGTTTTATGAAATATATGTGTACTTGGGCGTATACGTGTTATTGAATTCAATTCACAAATAAATATTATGTATACGCAGTGGAATTGAAAAAAAGAACGCCCTTTTATACCCACTATAAAAAATGTTAAGGTACAATTCAGTTTGTCATTCAGCTTATATTGTAAATATAGGATTTAGACCCACACATTGTATGTATATTTTGAGTCCTTATATGATTCTAAGTCGACCTAGTCATGTTCGTCCGTCTATCCGTTGAAAGCTCGATAGGATATAGACATGAAGAAAGATAATTTCTAATGATAAGATTATTTTCGTATTGAAAATAGGCAACATCGGTCGACTATTTATCCTATCACCCCGGATTACGGTTTAAAACATAATACATTCAAGTAAGTAATAATAACTCTAAAAGTCACTCTGATGTTCTTATTGATATCGATATATCGCTCATTTACTACAAGACCGGCGTAAATAATAAATCTTCGTTCTGAGTAAAACAGCATTGAATGTTTTATGAAATTTTGCTATTTTTTAAATCACTTATATAAAAAGTAGGTTTTAACATGTAATCTCAACTGAAGTTAAACGAAAATTTTTAAATATCAAATATACGTGAAAAAATTACTCGTAAATAACACCCTGTAACAATTTTGGAAAATAGCTTTCACACATAGAAAAGTTGATATGCATGTGAAATTAGATTCCATTTATAGCAAGTCTGAGTACTCCAAATTTTATAATCAGCTCTTATGTCCTTATAAAAGGACTTCAAAGTGAAAAGGACTTAGAATTTCGAACGAATATTTTATATACATATTTATATGTATGTGTTGTATGATGCTAATATTGATATCTAATGAAAGCTAGGAATCTGTACATTCTATCTGTATTATATATTTGATTTTCTTAGACAAAAAATCAAAAAAGAAAAAAATGTCATTGAAGCAGATGTCCTAAGCTTCATTTCATATTAGTATTAATACCAAATTTTTTATATATATTTGGAACTTCATCTTTTGAAATCGTATGTCCTTTAAACTTTAAGGTCCTTTTACAGGGCCATGAGAGCTGATTATGAGAAACTGATTACGCAGAGTTAATACTAGTGGTCCACAGTTTCCAGAACACATAGATTTTTTCGTGTGTGAAAATTACTGTTGCACGGGTGTAATAGATAATTTTGAAAATTGCCAAAACACATGTTTTCTAATTTTCTAATTTTCTTGTTAGTTAGTTAGTTAGTTAGTTAGTTAGTTAGTTAGTTAGTTAGTTAGTTAGTTAGTTAGTTAGTTAGTTAGCTAGTTAGTTAGTTAGTTAGTAGTTAGTTAGTTAGTAGTTAGTTAGTTAGTTAGTTAGTTAGTTAGTTAGTTAGTTAGTTAGTTAGTAGTTAGTTAGTTAGTAGTTAGTTAGTTAGTTAGTTAGTTAGTTAGTTAGTTAGTTAGTTAGTTAGTAGTTAGTTAGTAGTTAGTTAGTTAGTTAGTTAGTTAGTTAGTTAGTTAGTAGTAGTTAGTTAGTTAGTTAGTTAGTTAGTAGTTAGTTAGTTAGTTAGTTAGTTAGTTAGTTAGTAGTTAGTTAGTTAGTTAGTTAGTTAGTTAGTTAGTTAGTTAGTTAGTTAGTTAGTTAGTTAGTTAGTTAGTTAGTTAGTTAGTTAGTTAGTTAGTTAGTTAGTTAGTTAGTTAGTTAGTTAGTTAGTTAGTTAGTTAGTTAGTTAGTTAGTTAGTTAGTTAGTTAGTTAGTTAGTTAGTTAGTTAGTTAGTTAGTTAGTTAGTTAGTTAGTTAGTTAGTTAGTTAGTTAGTTAGTTAGTTAGTTAGTTAGTTAGTTAGTTAGTTAGTAGTTAGTTAGTTAGTTAGTTAGTTAGTTAGTTAGTTAGTTAGTTAGTTAGTAGTTAGTTAGTTAGTTAGTTAGTTAGTTAGTTAGTTAGTTAGTTAGTTAGTTAGTTAGTTAGTAGTTAGTTAGTTAGTTAGTTAGTTAGTTAGTTAGTTAGTTAGTTAGTTAGTTAGTTAGTTAGTTAGTTAGTTAGTTAGTAGTTAGTTAGTTAGTTAGTTAGTTAGTTAGTTAGTTAGTTAGTTAGTTAGTTAGTTAGTTAGTCCTGCTTTTTTTGTAATAATTCGGATAAGTTACACCTTATTCTTAAATATACAACATTTTTTTAATTATTTAAGGAAATTACCTCATTGTTACCTAAAACAAAACTTACAATTATGGAAATATTTTAAAACCTGCAAGCTATCTTTCATTTTTTTTAATCTTTAGAGAATTTTATATTTTTTTAGTTATTGTTTTTATTCCTTTTACAGTTTAAGTTTCAAGTTTATTTTTTCCTCTTTATATTTGAGTTTAAATAAGCCTAAGGATAATAAGGATCATTATACTACTAAACACATACACATATGTATACATGAAGAGTGCATATACTCTAAATAGGAGGACGAACTTACCTTTTATTAATTTACATTGCGGTGGCTGCTTCTGTTTATGTGTAACGTTTTTTTATTATGGCTTGTTTCCGTTTCCCTCTTTTTTGGTTTTGTGTTGTTTGAATGTTGTAAGTTGGGTTTTGTTGGTTGGCTTTTTTAGTTTTTCTGACTGTTAGTCTTTCTGACCGTCGATCCTAAAGACTGTGCGTCAGCCAGGCAGACAGACTGCACATTTGGTTGTGTCGTGGTGTTTATTAAAAATTTAAGTTACGCAAAACCTTTTTATTATTTTTTCTTCATTTATACATATTTTGCAGTTGTTGTATGAATGTAATGTCTGGGTTTTGTATTTTCTTTGGTATGAGTTTGTGTTAAATTTAAGTATTGCTAAATATTTTCTATAGATACATCGTTTAGGTTTTTATTTTATTTTATTTATTTTTTTTTTTTTAATTTTCTACCTTTTTAATGTTTCTGCTGAGTTTGTTGAAATAGTGCAAAATTTTAATTAAAATTTGTATGCTTTATGAAATGTCATATTTCAAATGTTAATAGTAGTTGTTTAAGAAAATGTAGAAAAAAATATAGACATAAATTTATGGGAAAAAATTAAGCTAAATATTTTAGTTGTTTTAGAAGGTTTTGTAGGCAAAAATAATGACGGAAAATGTAAAATGTGAACTCTTGAGGACGATATAATACAATATGTTAGAAAAAATATGTGATTTTTAATAACAGAAAATAAAATTTTTGTAAAATGTTTAGTTTCGTAGAATTTTCCTTTTATAGAAAATTGTCATAAAATTTGGTATTTAAGAAAAATGTTTATTAAATCTTTTATTTAAGGGATTGGTTTCTTTAAAAGAATTGTTCGCCATATTTTCAAAAATATTTTTTAATTTTCTATTTGATGAAAAATTTTTGTTTTTGAAAAAGAATACATTTCTAAAAAGTAGTCTTCTTTAGTTTCTCTTTGGTTCCTGTATAAAGGAAACTCTCCAAAGTTGTCACCTTTTACATGAAAACAAAGTCTGTCCATGAAAATAAGTTCTTAAGAACAATCTCTAAAAAGACACTTTTCCTAAAAAACTTTCTAAGAAGAAATTTTTCTACTGAAGACATTACATGAAAATACTTTTCTTAAGATAACTGTCCCATCAGACATTTTCTAATTAAACTTGAAGTTATTTCTAAGGAAAACTTCCTAGTAAACATTTTTCAAAAAAAAAAAAAAGAGTCTTCTGTATAGATGTCACTTTTCACAAGGAAAAAAGTTTGTCCAAGAAAGACAGTTGTTAAGAACAATCTTCAAGAAGACACTTTCCCTACAAAACTTTGTAATAAGTCATTTTTCTGCTGAAAACATTACATGAAAATACTTTTCTTAAAAAATCTGCCCCATCAGACATTTTTCTAAAGAAACCTAAAGACACTTTTAAAGAAAACTTTCCATGTAAACATTTTTCTTAAAAAAACATTTTTGTGGAGAAAGCTGTCCACAAAGACACATTTGTAAATAAAACTGTACAAGGAGATACTTTTCTACATAAAACTTCCTAAAGAAAATAATATTTTCTAAAGAAAATTGTCCAAGAAGACTCTTTTATAAAGAAAACTCTCGAAGAAGATAATTTTCTAAAGAAAACTATTCAATATACATTTTTATGTTGGATGCTGTCTAAAAAGACACTTTTTTAAGTAAAACTGTACAAGAAGACACTTTTCTATAGAAAAATTCTTCAAAATTACTCTTTTCTAAAGAAAACTGTCAAAAGAAAATATTTTTATAATGGGTACTGTCCTACAGATTGCTAAAAAAAAGAGATTTTTATAAAGAAAACTCTTTTCTAATAAAACTCTTCTAGAAGAAAATGTTTCGAAAGAAAACACTTCTAGCGAAAATGTTTTATTTAGGCCTTATTCTGAAGAAAAATTTCCAAGAAGACACTTTTCTAAAGAAACTGTTCAAGGAAACTCTTTTCTAATGAAAACTATCTAAGAAGACTCTTTACTAAATAAAACTAGCCAAGAAGCCAATTAACGAAACCACTAATATCACTCCTTACGCAAATACACTTTAAATAATATAAAAACTTTCCGCTAAAATTTATTTATCTAGTAGCTACCTCCTTGATCTTCCTTTGAGATTTAAGTTTTTATTAAAGTTTTCTATTTTTTTTTTCACTTTGGCATTCTTCCCTTAAGACATGATTAAACTTTTGAAAGATTTTCACTTTTCAACAAAACAAATATACACCAACACAAAAACACATACATACATACATACATATGTGTAAGAAATTTAAATAAGTATAATGAGAAATTGTGAAAAAACGCAAACTGCACTGCATGTTCTACATTTATTAAATATTTATCAATTAATTAACAGACCTTTTAATGACAACCTTTTAAGTAGTTTTAGGTCTTTTATATGTACGATATTTTAATTTTTCTAAAAGATGAGAAACAAAGAACAAAAAACATCAGAAATTTACGCACTCATACAAACGCAGCGGAAACAGAAACGTATGGGAATAACGGTAACAAAGTGAAAAGAAAACAAAAACAAACAAAGAAACAGAGATACATTATTTGTTTAGCAGGAGACTTACAAAGAGACAGAAGAGAGTGAGTGAGTACGAGAAATACGCAAAATAACTGAAAAGAACTTGTGCAAGGATGTCAATCCTTGTTGCTGTTGTTGTTGCTTTCTGTTGTGATTAGTTTTTTCTAGTCTTGTCTATTGTTGTTGCAGTTGTAAAGTTGTTGGCTTTTTTTCTTTAGCAACACAACGTAAAAGCGACTTTTACTTTTGCCAACTTGAGTCTTCTGCATATTTATTATGCGTTACATTTGTATTTGTGTATTTTTATTGTTGTTCCGTGTGCCTGTGCTTCTTTTATTTGTCTCTTTCTCTTTTGTGCAAAAATTCTCTTTGTTTTGATTTGTTTTGTTGTTGCGTTTCTTTGACTTGTCAGTTAAAAAATGGGTTTGGATGAATGTTGTTTTTTTTAAGCACGACTGCACTTTTATAAAAGTGTATGTATACATACGTGTGTATGTGTGCCTTAATATTTGTAAATGTATGTGTTATACCTAATAAGAAATAAATATTTTATTTCATTTTATATGCATTTTTTTCATTATTTTCTCTATCAACTTTTTTTGTAAATTTTGAAATTTCTTTTTTACTTTAAAGATTTTTTATTTAAGTTTAAAACTTTTATTTCTTTTGCTTAAAACAATTTATAAAGCTGTGTATTTTAATCAAAATATTTCCATTACTTTTTTTTCTTGGTTTTTTTAAGTTTTTTTCACAATTATTTTATTTTATCAAATTTTAAATTTTCCTCGTTATAATAAATATTGCGTTTGTTCTTTTTTGTTTGTTTTTTTTCTTCCGTCTTTAGGCTGCTATTCCTATAAATTTACTTTTAAGACTGAAAATGTATCCTGTCTACACACACTTGTTCGCTTCGTTTTATTCGGCTTAAGAGCTTTTTTTAGGTTTTTTTTTTCTTGTTCACCCTTCTCCTTGCCTTTGGTATTCTTAATGTCCATTAAAAAAGCTTTTTCATTGACTACAGTATATGCAATTGTTGTTGTTGTTGCTTGTTATATTCTTATTTTGTTATTGGTTTCAGTTTCTATTTGTTTTTGTTTTGGTTTTTTCTTTCTTTCAAAGAAAGGGTTGTTCATCCATTTTCGAGAGAGAGAGAGAGAGAGAGAGAGAAAGAGAAATATGACTCTCTTTATCTTTCACTCACTCTCTCTAATTACTGCTCTCATTTTTAAATATTTTTCTTTCGTAGGTAAAATATAATTAGAAATTAAGGATAAAGGGTGTTTTAAGTTTTTCTTATAATAAATATTTGAGATTATTTCATTGAAGTTCGCTGATCTTTGACTGAAAGGATCGTTGAGTCAGTTTTACACATTTCTGTAGAGAATATGTTCTGAGAATGTTTTATTTTCAAAATTGTTTATGTATATTTAATGGAAAACTAATTAAATCTCATGAATACGTGACGTATACTTAATAATAAGAACTTAATATTATGTATACGTCACATATCCAATACAGGCTATTTTATGGAAATTTCTTTTTATAATTACTTTTTTAACAAAATTTTGCAGTTTATTTCAGATTTTATTACTGAAAATGCAAAATTAAAAAGAATTCCCAAAAAAGTTTTAAAAAATCCTAAATATGGGATTTTTAGTTTCTCTTTGCTATAATATTCATTCCAAGGGCGGGATTATTGAAACCTTTTATAATATATAACTAATAACATATGTATTGGGCCATCTAAAATAGGCAGTGTTGCTAATTTAAAGTATTCCCGTCAAATCTGAAGTTAATGAAATTGCGAGAAAAATGCGTTTTAGCGGTTAGCGGGAAATTGTTTCTAATAAACATATAAAATAGAGTAATAGACTAATCTTAAGTCTAGTGTATAGTCTAATCCATAGTCTAGTCTAGTCTATAGTCTAGTCTATAGTCTAGTCTATAGTCTAGTCTATAGTCTAGTCTATAGTCTAGTCTATAGTCTAGTCTATAGTCTAGTCTATAGTCTAGTCTATAGTCTAGTCTATAGTCTAGTCTATAGTCTAGTCTATAGTCTAGTCTATAGTCTAGTCTATAGTCTAGTCTATAGTCTAGTCTATAGTCTAGTCTATAGTCTAGTCTATAGTCTAGTCTATAGTCTAGTCTATAGTCTAGTCTATAGTCTAGTCTATAGTCTAGTCTATAGTCTAGTCTATAGTCTAGTCTATAGTCTAGTCTATAGTCTAGTCTATAGTCTAGTCTATAGTCTAGTCTATAGTCTAGTCTATAGTCTAGTCTATAGTCTAGTCTATAGTCTAGTCTATAGTCTAGTCTATAGTCTAGTCTATAGTCTAGTCTATAGTCTAGTCTATAGTAGTCTATAGTCTAGTCTATAGTCTAGTCTATAGTCTAGTCTATAGTCTAGTCTATAGTCTAGTCTATAGTCTAGTCTATAGTCTAGTCTATAGTCTAGTCTATAGTCTAGTCTATAGTCTAGTCTATAGTCTAGTCTATAGTCTAGTCTATAGTCTAGTCTATAGTCTAGTCTATAGTCTAGTCTATAGTCTAGTCTATAGTCTAGTCTATAGTCTAGTCTATAGTCTAGTCTATAGTCTAGTCTATAGTCTAGTCTATAGTCTAGTCTATAGTCTAGTCTATAGTCTAGTCTATAGTCTAGTTCTATAGTCTAGTCTATAGTCTAGTCTATAGTCTAGTCTATCGTCTAGTCTATAGTCTAGTCTATAGTCTAGTCTATAGTCTAGTCTATAGTCTAGTCCTATAGTCTAGTCTATAGTCTAGTCTATAGTCTAGTCTATAGTCTAGTCTATAGTCTAGTCTATAGTCTAGTCTATAGTCTAAGTCTATAGTCTAGTACTATAGTCTAGTCTATAGTCTAGTCTATAGTCTAGCTATAGTCTAGTCTATAGGTCTAGTCTATAGTCTAGTCTATAGTCTAGTACTATAGTAGTCATAGTCTAGGCTCTATAGTCTCGTCTATAGTCTAGTCTATAGTCTAGTCTATAGTCTAGTCTATAGTCTAGTCTCTAGTCTAGTCTATAGTCTAGTCTATAGTCTAGTCTATAGTCTGTCTATAGTCTAGTCTATAGTCTAGTCTATAGTCTAGTCTATAGTCTAGTCTATAGTCTAGTCTATAGTCTAGTCTATAGTCTAGTCTATAGTTGTCTAGTAGTCTATAGTCTAGTCTATAGTCTAGTCTATAGTCTAGTCTATAGTCTAGTCTATAGTCTAGTCTATAGTCTAGTCTATAGTCTAGTCTATAGTCTAGTCTATAGTCTAGTCTATAGTCTAGTCTATAGTCTATAGTCTAGTCTATAGTCTAGTCTATAGTCTAGTCTATAGTCTAGTCTATAGTCTAGTCTATAGTCTAGTCTATAGTTTAGTCTATAGTCTAGTCTATAGTCTAGTCTATAGTTTAGTCTATAGTCTAGTCTATAGTCTAGTCTATAGTCTAGTCTATAGTTTAGTCTATAGACGATTCTATAGTCTAGTCTAGTCTATAGTCTAGTTTTAGTCTAGTTTATAGTCTAGTTTATAGTCTAGTTTAGTCTAGTCTATAGTCTAGTCTATAGTCTAGTCTATAGTCTAGTCTATAGTCTAGTCTATAGTCTAGTCTATAGTCTAGTCTATAGTCGTCTATAGTCTAGTCTATAGTCTAGTCTATAGTCTAGTCTATAGTATAGTCTATAGTCTAGTCTATAGTCTAGTCTATAGTCAAGTCTATAGTCTAGTCTATAGTCTAGTCTATAGTCTAGTCTATAGTCTAGTCTATAGTCTAGTCTATAGTCTAGTCTATAGTCTAGTCTATAGTCTAGTCTATAGTCTAGTCTATAGTCTAGTCTATAGTCTAGTCTATAGTCTAGTCTATAGTCTAGTCTATAGTCTAGTCTATAGTCTAGTCTATAGTCTAGTCTATAGTCTAGTCTATAGTCTAGTCTATAGTCTAGTCTATAGTCTAGTCTATAGTCTAGTCTATAGTCTAGTCCTATAGTCTAGTCTATAGTCTAGTCTATAGTCTAGTCTATAGTCTAGTCTATAGTCTAGTCTAGTCTAGTCTATAGTCTAGTCTATAGTCTAGTCTATAGTCTAGTCTATAGTCTAGTCTATAGTCTAGTCTATAGTCTAGTCTATAGTCTAGTCTATAGTCTAGTCTATAGTCTAGTCTCTTCTAGTCTATAGTCTAGTCTATAGTCTAGTCTATAGTCTAGTCTATAGTCTAGTCTATAGTCTATAGTCTAGTCTATATTAGTCTATAGTCTAGTCTATAGTCTAGTCTATAGTCTAGTCTATAGTCTCTAGTCTATAGTAGTCTAGTCTATAGTTAGTCTATAGTCTATCTATATAAGTCTAGTCTATAGTCTAGTCTATCAGTCTAGTCTAGTCTATAGTCGATCTAGTTATGTCTAGTCTAAGTAGTCTAGTCTTATCTAGTCTATAGTCCAGTATAGTTAGTCATAGTCGTCTATAGTCTAGTTAAGTCTAGTAGTCTATCTATAGTCAGTCTAGTTTATGTCTAGTCTAGTCTTATTAGTCTAGTTTAGAGTCTTAGTTGTTATAAGTCTATATCTAGGTCTAAATTTTCTAAGTCATTTTATAAGTCCATCTATTAGTTTATAGTCGTCTATGTTTAGTTTATTAGATATTTTTAAGATTTTCCCTAATTAAAACCAGTTTTAGTTTCAAAATTATATATGTATTTTAAAAACTCATTCTTATAGTTAATAATTGTTTATTGGAAACGCTGTTTAAATACAAAGCTTGTTCTCTTTTTTAACAATAATCTCTTTCCCTCTTTTGTCTGCCTTTAAAAAAATTGTTGAGAATGCTTTTGTCACACATGCTCTGTAATATCTTTATCCATTTGGCATTTAAACAAAGGCACAACTTTTGTCAAAAATAAACAAAAAAGTGTTTTTTATTTTTCTATCCAACATTTACTCACACTTTTCCTACTCTCGCACACACATGTACTTGCACAAGTACTTTTACGTTGAAATATGTACAATGAATAGAAAAACAGCTGTAATGCAACCGGAAACCAAATAGAAGTAGAACGAAACTTTTCCGTTTAAGGAAAAAAAAAATAAATAAAAATCATTATATGAAAAAAATCAGCTGAGAAAAAGGAATACATAATAAAAAATAAACTACTAGTAGTAAAAGGTTTCAAATGAAATAGTTCAACTATTTTTGTATATACACATAGATACGTATCTATATACAAATACAATTTATGTTTGTGCATGTGTGACTTTGACAAATATTGAATACAAAAGAGAGCTTTATGGACGATTATCTCTATATGTATAGATATCAATGTATGTTTGTAAATATGTATCCTATTGTGTGTAGATATACAATTCAGATAAAATAGTAAATAGTAATGCCGGTTTATGTATTCTATTCAATGTTTACTCAAATACATATAAGTATGTATGTATGTATTAATGTGGGGATTTAAGCAAATATGCAGATGTATATGTTTGTTTTTTGTTTAATATGTATTAAATCGTTTAAACGAGTATTACTTAATTACAATCTCGTTATTATCATGTATATGGAAAATTGTCATCTTGTTTTAGTGCTTACGACCTCTATCCCTAACTGGGCCTTCTATGTAAGACCCTTTTATGGATGATAAATCATGGTTTCTTAAAACTGTTTTTCACTTTTTTAATTGCAAAATTTGAAAATTGGACTTATTTTCGCACTGGACTTTCGAAAAATTGATATTAAACGTCAGATTTTTAGATTTAGCTAATAAATGCTTTCGTATATTCACACTGAGCTGAGCTGGAGGCATCTTTGTTTAAAAGTTTCAAAATGCCATAGGTGAGCGGGTGCGCCAAGAGAAAATTTCTTCATTCATCTAATGAAATGCGTTCATTAGATGTTCTTCATTAAATATATGAAATATGAATAAAAAATATTTCCATAGCAACTTCGTTCGTCTTTTATTATGAGTTTTTGTAAAAAGTTAGTGAAACCACATTCGTGAATACAATGAATTTTCATCTTTTTAGTTATTCTTATTTACTCTTTTTATTATTCACCCCCAGTTCTCCTTTTTTAATTTTTTTAAAAGTTTTAAATGTCAATGAATATGTTTCATACATGCAATGAATAGTTTTTATATATGTAATGAAACAATCTTCATAATATGTAGACATTTTAATGCTACGTTTGCTGTACTAAACATTGAAATAAAAATTCACAAATATTTTTTTAGTGGTTTTAAACAATATAATTTTTTTATTTTTTTTTTATTTTTTAACTTAAAAATATTTTACATATAAATGATAATACGTTTGAGCATATAAATTTAAAATTTAATATATAAAACTAGATTTATTTGTTTGTTTAATATAAATGTTTAATTTTTTTATATATTTTTTAATTCTTTAAAGAATTCATTTGCTTAAATATAAAAACCTTAAAAGAAAAATATAATAAAAATACGAAAAATTATAATACAAAGTAATGAATACAGCATGCAATAGTAATTTGCAAAAAAATCGTTAAATAATTTCTTTCATTCAATATAAAAACCTTAAGAAATTAAATAATTCGTTGGTTTGTTCGTTTGCTTTTTGTTGAGATAAAAAAAAACAAATTCAATAATGATTTAATAAATTTATGTAAAAATTAATCAATGATATGTTTAATATATGTTTGGTTGTGTGCCGTTTTGCATAAAAAGTTATTAAAAATATAATAATAAAAAACAAAAATTTACATTTAAACTTATATATTTGTTTTTAAAATATATTATTTTTATAACTACAGTCTTAAAATTTTTTATTATTGAAACTTTAAAAACTTTTTTTTTAACTAGCATCTACTCATTTTGTGTTGATTTTTTTTATTAAAAAAATTATTAATAATTAAAATATTTATTTAATAATAAAAAAACATATTTAAAATACTAAAAAAGATCATTTTTTCACTTTTAAAAACTATGCTGCTTTTGTAAAACTTAAAAAAAAAAATAAACTCTTTTAGAGCTAATTTTAGGTTAAACAAATGCTTAACAATTATTAATATTTTAAATAAAACTCTAATTTATTAAAGAGAGAGTCGCCTTTAAAAATGATAACATTTTCTATATTAACAAGAAATTCGGTTTTAGTTGTTGTAATATAAAGCAAACTGTCGATAACTGTCTCTTACTCTATCAGGCTCTGACTTAATGTGGATTTAGAGCAATAGCTTCTGTTTACCACATACATACACTTATTTTAACTCTCTTCTTCTCTCTCTTTCTCTCTAACAATTCATATAATTGTGATCATCGCCTCCTGCTGCCACTTCCTGTTCTTCCCTTTTCTCTTCCTCTAATTTAACAGCTGCTGCCTCTAAATTACTGCCCACATTTTGATAAACTTCCGCCTGGGTCTCTACACTAGCTACTTGTGCTTGAGCCAAGGGTGCCTGTTTGGGCTTAAAAGATGAACAATTTGGTGTTGCCTTTGTTAGCTTTCCATAGATGATATTGGATCTTTCATTCAATTTAATTGTCTGCAAAGTAACACCATTTTGATAATTGTGCTCTTGTTCCTGTTTAGCTTCCATAATGGTGTTCAAATAATTGTTGCTATTGGAGGAGGATAAATTCTGACTGTTATACACGGGTATATTAGAGGGAAACATTTGATAGTGTTCCGAGCTGGTGGGACTAGTGGGAGTGTTGAGTCTTGTACACGAAGACATGGGTGAGGGGAAAGTAATTTGATGTCTTTCATCGCCGGGTGTAGAATTGGGTGTGAAGATGGGTCTGGGTGGTGGGGGTACTAAATAGTTGTCCATCAATGATCCTGGTGAACCTAAACGACAACCAAAACGTCTTTCCTCATGATCTGAATGAGTGCCGGAATCACCCAACGAAGTGCCGCTACAATTGCTGCCCGTACTTAAACGTCCCGAAGAGGATGATGAAGAAACCGATTGTAAACTCAAAGAGCTTATGGGTCTAGCTGATGACTTGAAACTAGAGGAGGTGGTAATGGATGATTTGGTTTCATCTAACACACTATCCACACATGATTTTTCATGATGTAAATTGGAGGTGGACTTGTGTCTGGAGAATAATTTCTTAAACTTATCAAAGGGTGTATCTCTCTTCAGATGAGTTCTAACCTGATCCTGTATACGTTCATATTCTCTTCTCATCTGATCAAGTTGTTCTTGTTTCTCACGGAAACTTTGTTGTACATCATTACGATGTTTCCATTTCTCCACCAAAACCTCTACTTCACGTATTGATAAGACATTATTTTTGAAATCATGCATTATCTCGGCCAATTCATCATCAACATTGGATCTCGCCGAACTGGAGGCATCCGAGGCTGAACGTTTCAACGTGCCATAGGTGGGCTGGTGAGCCAAGCGTTGTGAGGAGCCCATGCGATTTAGACTCAGACGGGATTGGTGTAAATGTTCCTCTTCTACGGGACGATTGGAGGGTTGGAACAAATAGTTGCCATCATCGGTATTGATGGGTGATAAAGGTTGTGCTGTTTGCTGCTTGGGCAGTTGAGTTTGAGCTGGCGGCACCGGTACATTGGAAGGCTGCATAACATAATCATTATTCGCAGCAGTGCTGGTGCAATTCTCCAATACTTGTGAGCATTCCTGACTAAATTTATCTGTCTGATAAATGGGCGCATCGGTGACATCTTTACTAGCCTTATTTTGTTCCTTAGAGGCATAGTAGGGTGGTTCACTGATTCTCAATTCATTGCTGGTTATTTCGCCGGTGGTTATGACCTTATTACTATCGAAATTCTTGCAAACATCTGCCGAGGAACCCTGTAAATTCTCCTCTTCAGTTTCGACACTTATGTAGTTCAAATTGGACACGGCCAAAGTTTCGCCTTTGTTTTTGTTTTCAGGTGAATTCTCACGATCCGAACCACTAGACATTTCCATGTATTCAGCCTGCGTTTGACCCTCCACCATTTGACGATTTTTGGGAGATTTTGGGGATTTGGGTTGTTTCTGTTTGGGTGAAGTGGGGTGTGATTTAACTGCTTCTATGACAACTTTGTTGGCTGTTGATTTACCACTGCCTGTAGTATTGTGATTATTCTTCGATTCTCCACTTATGCCCTTGAAATAATGATACATGGTAGTTAGTTCATGGAATTCCGAAAAACTCATGATGTTGCGCGCCAACTTATGATGACCCTCCATATCGGCCAATTCGCTGGGTGTCTTACCAGCACAATTACGAATGCCACAGGCAGTATCACCACCCGGACACTCCATCAATTGCATGCACAAACGATTTAAGCCCCATCTGGCGGCGAAATGCAATAAGGTGGGATATTCTTCAGGGCTGGATTCTCTAAGGCTTAAGAATTGATTTTGTTTCTGTTCATAGGGTCCATTGAGTAGATGGAAATTGGGTGGCATATTCTTTTGGAAACACTGCAAAAGATGAACATCTAAATCTTCCTTTTCGGTAGGTCCAATACCTAAAGCATGACACATGAATTCTATGGGAGAATCTTCGGAGCGTAGCAGTTGTTCCAATTCGCGTAAACGTGATTCACATTTAATGGGTCGGGCTCCTAGGGATTTCTGATTCTTTTCCAAACGTATTTCAACCATAGTGGAAATTTCCATGCAGGATTCTAGTGGGGGAAGATGACAATAATAAAAGGAAAGGGGTTAATTTTGTTAGATATAGTTAGAGTTTATAAATTTAACAATTCTTAATCTATTAAAGAGATTCCGAATGCTTTTAGCTTTAATTCAACTATTCTCTTACCTGGTATAGCAAACTGCACCGTATAGGGATTACGACATTTGAAATTTCTTATCTCTATCAATTCCCCTGATTTTTCCACAACAATCTTTAGAACATCATCCTTTTCCAAGGGATCATTTAACATGGCCACTACTTTATTCTGGCCAATCTTTACTTTCTTGGGTAAAATGGTAAAACCATCCGAACATGAAGAGAAACTACGTGATATACCCGAACCCGAATCATGACAAACGGGACGTTGACACAAGGCACGACCCAATATATCTGTAGCTATACCCAAAATATTACTAATCTGAGCTTGATCATTATCGCGTATAACACAACGACGCCATCTTAAGTAATTGGGAAGAGCTAGAATTATAAATTTAGATTAAAAATAATATAATTTTGAAAGTAAGATCTTGAAGAAAAAAACTTACCAGTTTTATGAATTTCTTTAACTTTTTCTTCAGTAACATCGAGTAAAATGCCCAAAACCTTTTCAACTCTTACTATACTCAATAGCTGAGACATCAAAAGAGAGTGTGATAAAGCCAAAAGAGCGGGACATAAAATGATAATTTGCAAGGCAGTGTTTTGATATTTATAAGCGATCTCATCACTAAAGGGACCATCTTCGATTTTGATGTGCAAAAAGCTAAAAGAAAAGTGAAAAATAAATTTATGAAAAACATAAATAAGTTGCTTATGATCTTGGTCTTCGCTGAGTTTAAGACCTGATTTTTTTTTTTTTTTTTTTTTTTTTTATAAAAAGTTAAACTTACTTGAAAGGTTTGCGTCCACGTTGTTTGGTTATTTTATCGAAATGATTTTTTAGAAAATTTGCCCTTAGTATTGCTCTTTCACTGTGTTTGGCTGTCACTATTAGAATATCATCCATGTTGTAAGAACCTGTAGAGCTGGTCATGCTGTTGCTCATGGTGCCACAGTTGTCTAAAAAATAAATTACATATTTTAAAAATGTTTAAATTAAAGTCGATTTTTTATATATTTTTTTTCCAAATTTTGTTATTAGGTAAATTTAGAAATACACACACACACAACAAAACACTCTTTCTTTCTCACACTCCCATGGTATGGTGATATTTTAGATAAATATTTTGATAAGAATTTATGTTTTAGGATTTTTATTTTTCCGATTTTGATTTTGTGGTGGCAGTGTCAAAGTGTGTTGTTTGCATAGGTTTTGTTGTTGTTGTTGTTTTGTGTCCCCGGTTAGAGAATGGCAAACAAAAATAACATACACATAAGTTTTTGTTGTTTATATATTTGTTTTGATGATTTCTTACATGAATCTAAAATCTTGGTGGGAAGCAGAAATGTCAACAAAATGTGAAAAAAACGCGATAAGAAAATTTTAAACTGCAGTTTATGTTTTTTTTATTTGTTATTTTCCAGCAGTTTAAAAAAGAAAAATGTTTTAATATATTTTTGCAGTTGTGCGTAGTCGGTGTTCTTGTATTTTTTTTTCCCCAAAATGTCACTTGCCACCCGTTTTTTTCTTAAAAGCCTACAAATGTTGTCTTTTACATATTTTTTTTTTATTTTTCCAGACATTAGTCTGTAAGTAGTCAGACTTTATCTCTCCTTTTTTGAAAAAAGGGTCAAATTTTATTTTTTTTTTTTTAATATTAAATAAAGAGGGAGTGTCTTTTCTTTTTATTTAATTTGTTTCTGCTTTGTTGCAATTATTATATATTTTTTTTTCTTATTTAAAGCATATGCTGCTGTTACTCCCTAAGTTCCTTGATTTTTTTGTAATATTTTTAGTATTTTATAAAAATTTTTACTGCCTGTTGCAAAGGCTTATTATGCCAGACAGCTGACAAAATTCATCTAAAAACAGCCCGTTTTTTTTGATGGCTTTTTTATGAGCCATACAAAATTGGAGTAGACAAATTATGAGGAATTTTGTAAAAATATTAAAAAAAAGTTATATATAAAAACATATTTTAATTTGTTTTCTATTTTTTTTTTTACAAAATTTCTTGGAAATTAGTATTTTTAATAGTTTTTTTTTTTGGTGCCCAATATTTTTCTTCAGATTTTTTATTATAAAATACTTTACAAAAAAAATTATAAAATTTTCAAATAAATAACAGTTTTTAAAAAGTAACTAATCCCCTTATCATTAGACACTGAAAACTTTATATTTTTTGGTTAATCAAAATGTAGACTACAACAAGGCAAAGATATCGCTCTTGTCTAGAAAAATAATCTGGTTTTATAATATAAAAGACAAAAACAACATGAAACAGACTACTCTCTAGATTACTAGGGGAGAGTAAAAGACAATTATCTCAAAACTTGATTAGCAGTATCAGCAACGAAATTTACAACTTTTGAATAGCAAAATTAGCACTTTATAAGTCTTATAAAAAACACTAACTACTCTTTAGTTTACTAAGAGACAGTAAGTGAAAACTGGCCTAACTTTAAGTGAGTAAGGAATACGAATTTCCAGGAGATAAAGTTGACTTTGCAATTACATTTGCTAAGCAAAATAAACAGTTTATAATCTAAAAAATAACAAAAATTAACTAACTACACTCTAGTTTACTGGAGGGACAGAAAGTGACAATTGATCCAATACTAAGTAGATTGGAAGGTGAACTACTTACAAAAGATTAAAGTTAACACTGTAATAGATCATTATTGATGAATAAATTCCAAAAGCATATAAAAAATGTTATACTGATTACTACCTAGTTTACTGGGGAACAGTAAGTGACAACTAAGCTAAGTTAATAGGATTGAAAACTTTTAACCTATAAGTTTGAATGGACAATAGATGAGCAAAATGATCACTTTCTAAAATAACATTAAAATTACGTTAAACTGACTACTCTTTAGTTTACTAAGAGACAGTAAGTGACAATTACCTTAATGTTAAGACAAATCGAAAGCAAACTTTTTTTTGCTTTTTAATAGTTGAATTTTCATAAATAAAATAATGTAAAATGCAAGAAACCTATTTAAACTGACTACTCTTTAGCTTACTAAGAGACAGCAAAAGGAAATTAACCTAACTTTACATTAATTGAAATGTAGACTACAAGGGTTAAAGTTGACTCTGCTATACAACAATTTCAGTGAGAAAAATAATTACTTTCTAATGTTAATTATAAAACACTTTAAACTGATTACACTTTAGTTTACTAGGAGATCAGCCAGTGACAATGGACTTAATTTTGAACATTAGTATTTAATTTAAATGGTTTTTTGTTGAACAGAAATATTTTTTTTTAATATTTTACACTTTTGTTTAAATGTTTTAATTTTTCTTATTTCTTAATATTCCATAAATTACCTTTGCATAAAAATACATTTAATTTTAAATAAATACGTTTACGAAAATCTCTTCATAATCCAGTTTATATCGAGAGTAAATTACACAAAACGCTTTAGCACTGATTTAATAAATTTTACATTTAAATCCTTTTTTATGGTTAAACTTTTTTTCAAATGTTTACAATAAAATACCATAAATTTAGTCACGTTTTAAACATTTAATTTAAATTAAAGAAACACACAAAAACTATTGCATTTTGTTATTGTTGTTGTTGTTTTGAAAACGTAACAAACTGTTGACACTGATTAAAAAGTAAATTTATTTAACAATTTGTGTGAAAAAAATCAAAGCATACACGAAAAACACAACTAAAAAGATTTTGTTGATGATGCTACTGCTGTTGACGCTATGACAGAGGTTTGTTGTGTGATGTTATCGCGGGGCCCAGCGCACAATTACTGAATGCCTGCATCTAGACACAAATGTTGAACTTTTTGACACCCACCAAACAAAAAACTATACATACATGTATAGAGAAAAAAATAAAAGAAATCGAATAAAAGACACAGGGACAGTCAAACAAACAGATATTCAAACAGTAGCTAAAGATATTTTTTTTTAAAGATGCAGCCAGCAAAATATACAAGAAAAAAATCTAGAATTTTTTTTGCTTTATTTTGACAGTTTGTTTGTTTAATGTGAAAATGAAAGAAGGAAAGATTAAAAAGGAAAATCAAAAAAAAAATATATAAAATTTTTTTTAAACAAATTGTTGCTATTTTTTTCTGCAAAAAAACTAAATATTTCCTGTTTCAAAAGATTCTTACTCAAAATCCTTTAAAACTTTTAATGTTCATAAAGGGTTAATTTAGTTTCCTGTTTACTTTTAGCAATAAGGATCCCTTTCCCCTTTTTTTCTCTCTAAACAAATTAAATTGATATATTTTATTTAGTAATTTACTCTAGCCAGACATCAGCAGACAGACAGACAGACAGACAGACTTTGAAAAAAAACATAGTCTGCTTACAAAGACAAGGCCAGCTTTAAAAAAAAAAAAATAACATAAAATTTAAATTTAATTTTTGCAATTTTAAATTTTTTCTCATTTTTTTTCATGAAACATCTGTTAAGTGTTATAGACAGATTTGTGTCTATATATTAAATGAATACAAAACAAAACCAACAAAAAACATTTTTTATATTGCGGCATTTTAAGACTAAGTAGCAAATTCCCCCTGGTCCCGGTTTAATTTTTGTTGTCTCTTTTCTTTTATAAAATTACAAATAATCATTTAGCACAATTGTATTTGGTATTGTCGTTTGAAGTCAAGTGTTTGAAGAAAACTAAATAAATATTGACAAGAAATTGAAGAATTGTTTATACCCTAAAGAACTTGAAACAACAAAGAACCTCTAAAGACTTCTTACAGTTGTATAGTACCTCTATTAAACTGTAAGACTTTAAGGTTTATTTTTTAGTTAAAGGAAAAATTGCTTAAAATATCAAAGAATTTTTGACATGTCAAATGATCCTATATAGATTACACGGGTATAGACGAGTAGCTAGTGAAAAGTACTTTTCGCCTGCAACTGGTTCGTACTACAAATAGTGAAAGTTCACACAGCATTAGACTGATTTCGATGGCACAAATAACGACTTTTTTAAGTGAAATTAAAAAAATTTTGAACTGATTACCCTATAGATTACTAAGGGACAATTTATTCCCAATGTTAGTTTTTTAATTATGTAATCTTTAATTTCTTTACTTTCGAGTTGCATAATTAATACTTTATAAAGCTCCTTTAAAAAACTTTCCAAACTGACTACTCTCTAGTTTACTAAGCGACAGAAAGTGGTAATTGACCTAATACTAACTGATTAGGAATGCGTACTTATAAGTAATAAAGTTTACTCTGCAAAATATTACTTTTGCCAAGCAAAATCAGCTGTTTCTAAAGTTAAATATGAAAATAATTTTCACTAATTACCCTCTAGATTACTTAGGAACACTCTGACCACACACTGACCATTGAAACTAACAATAGATCAGTTGAAATGAAGACTACATAAAAGGTTTCAAGTTGAACCTACCATAGTTAAATTTATTAAGCAAAATAATCAGGTTTTAATGTATAACCTAATAAACAGTTTAAACTGATTACACTTTAGATTACCTGGGGACAGTAAGTGATAATTGGGTCATAATTAGATAAGTTAGTCTTAATATAAAGTATATTCTTTAGATTACTTAGGGACAGTAAGTGGCAATAACCCTAGTCTATTTTAGTTGGAATTTGACCAGTTAAAACAACTTTAAATTGACTACATTATAGATTACCTGGGAACACTTGACTCTACAATACAACATATTTAAGGAGCATAAACAAATTTAAACAAATTGTTAAGAAATTCCATAGATATTTGAATTTACAAAAATTTGATAAATTATGAAAAATAACTTTCTAGAAATAAGTGGTAAATTATAGATAATAACTTTCTAGAAATAAGTGGTCCCCTTATTTAAGTTCTTACTTTAAATTGTTTGCTTTGTTTTTCTCTAAAAAAACTACTGATATTGTTTTGAGTACACATGATTCTTTTAAATAAAATTTAATTTCTTTGCTATATATTATATATAT